ACTAAGTCCAGTGGATTTTTTTTTTTTACTTTTACAGACTATGACCTGGATGACTGAGAATCTTCATCAGCAAAATGAAAGAGTGACACTTCGGTCCAGATGATCCAACCAGTGCAGCACTTACTTACTCTCATTAAGTTTCAATAATCTTAGAGTAATTCATGACAGTCAGAGCTTACTTCTTAGATTTCTTGGAGATCAAATCATAATGAATTAATTTAATATCAGTTCTCTATATTTACAAAGCAGCTTCAGCTTTTACATGGGCTCCGTTAGAACTCAGCAGCTGTGTCCGCCCAAGGCCAGATTCATTGGTCGATTACGTCGTAGTACTGCCCCATGCCTGTTCGGGTTTAAATTTGTTTTGCTTTTTATACCGGAACAATAACAAACCCAAAGGAAGAGGGTGTGTTTGATTTCAGTGACTGTGCCTCAAAGGACCCGGTCTACATGGACTGGTCCTTTGAGGGTCGTAAAGAGTTCGGCTGTAGATTAAAAAAAGATCCAGCGTACGCTCTGTCACCTAGCAACAAAAAAGGGAAAACCTAAACTTCTTACTACTGTTCTGTGTGCTAATTACATTGCTGAGAGACTTCAGCAGCAGTACAGTCGCGGATATCAGATTTGTGGTCCCCACACTGCACAGATATTAGAATCTGTGCTTTAATGCCAGCCAAACCCGTTTGCACAGGGACACATACAAACCTTTCAATAAACTAAATGTAATTATTACACAGAACAGCAGAAAGTAGATCAGCATCAGTTCTTTGCCTGCTTTGTGAGTCAACTGTCACTGTTGCTAGGCGACGAAGAATATGCTGAGTGAGGGGCGCCGACAGCCGGGAGCGCTTGATGTGTTCGAATCTATAGCCCAACTCTTCCGGCTTCCTTATTTTATCGGCCTTCGAAGGACTTGGTCCAGGTAGACTGGGTCCTTCGAAGGTTGCAGCTATAAATTCGAGTATCCATCATCAAACACAAGTTTAGCTAATCTGGACCCGATTTTGGTGCAGATTAATCACATTATGACAGCTTCTTTGTTTAAATTATACTGTAAATCAAAGTCTATTCTCACACTATAATGAGCCAAGCAAATTTAAAGGCAGGAAAGAGGATTCTGTGGCGGTAGATATGTCCGCTACAGTTCTCTACGCTGGAAACGCCTCCACAGGTAATCTTGTACTTCACCTAGAGAGGCAGCAAAGATCCAGCATGCACCTTGTAATTAGGAAATCTCCATAAAAAGAAGAGGTCTCTAGTGGTGTTATCACTGCACCGTTCTCTCCTCTTTTCAACTACATTGGAAAAAGGCTTTCTTTTCCAGTTAAGTTTGTCAGGATTCTTTTCGGCCATTGATGCTCGAGTTTACACAAAAGAGTGAACAAATAGATAAAAAAAAAACGCAACCCAGCAAACAAGCTTGGGAGTACATCTTCTTGCTTTGTCATAATGGAGGACTGCTAGGCAAATAACGTACGAGTTATGCTTGGAGCCTACGTAAATATGTACTGGGGGCACGTACTCAAAATGTTTGATTTGACAGAAGGCAAAGTAGATTGGCTAATGTTCTTTAGGTCCCACCACAGAGTTTGTAGATTTTGTGGGGGGGCATAAGTGCAAGATTAATACCCAACCATTATCTCATTTTAGAATAATCTGGACACTTTTTCTGAGAAAAATCCTCCTTCATACCTTTAAGAAAGCTTATTCCACCCTGTAGATCTTTTTATTTTACTGTCGGCCACAATCCTAATAATTGTGAAATCTGAGAAGATATCCCATGTTGAAAACTCACTAATACCAGTAAGATGTGAAACATTAGATGGAAGGATTTTCTTAATCCCCCACTTAAATGACCAGCTGTTCAGTACCATGCATATATATGCATACATCAAAACCTTTTACACTTTCTCCAAGAAACAAACTTCCACCTATCTTATTTGGATTTTAAAAAGGGCAGTGGAAAGAAGAAGTTAATTGTTTCTATGTTTTTGTAATCTGAACAGTTTAGTTAAGGTGACCAGACATCCTCTTTTTCCCAGACATGTCCTACTTTTCATACTTAAAAAAATGTCCAGGGGGAATTTTAAAATCACAGGAGTACAGCAAGAGTGAGCTGTAAGCTTCAGGGCTGGTCGGGAAATTCCGGTGGACGGGGGGGGGACGGAGCGACCGAAACCCCCGCCAAAAAAAAAGGTGTCAACCTTTTCAGAAACCCAAATCTGGTCACCCTAGTTTAGTCTTTGTTTTCGTTCTTTGGAATCCCCTTTCACCACTATTATAGCTGTAAATCTTTCAGGGTAGAGGTATGTAAGCTTTGAACATCAGGAAACAAACATTTCAAGCTCAAATGATGACAAGTTCATTTAGGTAACATCTGTACAGACTAAAAAACATAAATACCCTCCTACCACCTCGGACATAAAGGCCTGATTTATTAGAGTGCACAATTCAAATCCAGCGATTAGCCAACTGGAGTGGCTGATCTCTGCAGCTCCTCCAAAGTTCCAAATGTCCTCTTCGATGCTCCTCTTATTAATGCTCTCAGTTTAGGTAGATGACCAGGTAGGAGCAGTTTTAGAAGTGCAATTTCTGGGTGATTATTCTATTTTCCTTTTTTTATGTGCTCCCTAAAATGGTCGGAATTTGGGATATTATCAAATAAGCTCTCCTTGCTTTGAGCTTCTCCATTTTCTCTTTAACCCGTTTGTTGGTTGTTAATCTTAACGATATTATTTGTTTCATAATGTTCTTACAGACAGCTGGAGTTATACTGAGAATTACTGAAACATAAATTGTTTATTAATGACAATACTAGTGGAGGCAAAATGGCTGCACTAGATTTCATTTAGGTTTAAGAGTAAAGGGGGATAAACACAAAGAAGTATTAAATTGGGAATTTGGTGTCCAGAAACAGACATTTATAGATAGTGTGAGTTTGGCACTTCAGAGTAATAAAAAAAAAAATTATAAATATATATATATATATATATATATATATATATATATATATATATATACAGGAAAACCTTAAATAAGCATTTCAAGTTAAGATTTTCGATACAAGTAGGAAATCCCTGTTTTATATAAACAAAAAAACATTTTATCGGTTGATTTAAAAACGGTTTCTTTTCTTGTTTTTTTACTTTAGAAGGCAAATTGCTAAAAGCAAGGCGGGTGGGGAAATGTAGAAAAGTTTAGGTAGATCTCCTTTAATCAGCGCAGCTCCGTCCATTGGTGAACACCTAACATCTGTAGAGCAGCTGAGAAACAGCTGACTTCATGCTAACATAACTGAAACCAGAACTTTTAAAAAGCTCAGGTTCCACTTCTTTGCTAGAGACCTTCCGGGTTTCCCCCTCTGTGCTCTTCAACACATTTAGCAAACTAGCTTCTGGTCCGACAGGCAGGGAAAACAGCCTGCCATGTTCTCCGCTCCTTTCTCTATCGCTAAACACTCTAGAGAGGCAAATAAAGAAAACCAAAGAAAAGAAAACAACTTACTAAAGCTTGGAGATACTCAGAAACGACCGAGTGTGTTTTTTCCGGCCTGTGCTGCTCTGCTGCAGCGCCACTGATGCCAACAATCACCGTCAAACCTCCGCAGACATGTCAACCATAGAACCTTCTGACTAACCACGCTCTGGGTGAGACGCACCTCTGCCATTGGTCTAAATATTTGACAGGCATGTCTCTAGACCAATCACAGAGGCAGAAATCTTTCATCCAGGATAGTAAACAAACAGTCCAGCTGGCAACAGTCAGTGCAGATCCACAATACTTTAAACATCTTGGTTTCTCTGTAACCAAACATTTGAATATTTTAGTTCTTTGTCATAGGTCAAACCAATGTAAATCATGCAAGAATATTATATATATTATAATACATATCATACATAATATATTTTAATTTTAGGAATTTTTTTTAAAGTTTGGAAGCAACTTGTTGGCATTATGTGGCATTCTGATTATGTAAATAAAAAAAAAAAAAATGAACGTTCATGATCTCACATTGGGGAAATTTACCTCTGCATTTAACCCATCCACCTTATACGTACTATATATACATATATAAATATGTGTGTATATATATATATATATATATATATATATATATATATATATATATATATATATATATATACTGGAGGATCGCGCAGAGGTTCTGCAACCTTCGTCGCGCACCTCAAAAAAATCCTGACTACATGTCGGACGGTCGCAAAGCCGTTCAGACCTCAAACCTAAGTGCGCAGGCAAAAAGCAGCTCTGATTGGTCCTTGGTATGCCTTTCCAGCTGTCTGTCTGGTCGTCCTTCTCGATTCAGTGCAGGGGCGTGCCATTTTTAAAAACCAAGGAGTAATAACAACAATAGATAACTATGACGAGCAGGTTTGGAAGTACAACCACTTGTACGATGCCTCTGAGATGTCATTTTGGAAAATAAATACTTCCGCCGGCACCGCCGAAGAAGTTCTCACGGCCATCCACCGAAGTTCATGCAAGTTCTCCAATAGGCTCCCCCTTGCGCTTTGGCGGTAAACGGCTGTGCATCCCTAGGAATTCCAGACCGACGGTGCAGGGGCATACCAGCAAAACTGGTTCGCGACAAGACGCAAGCGACATTTGATGTGTGCGGTTGCAGAAGTATAGTCCGCCCTTAACTCAGCCTTAAAGGGGGGCATGGCCATCCCTGGCCCCCCATTTATCTCCGCCCCTGATTTTATGTTGCTGTTGAGGTAATGGATGTTTCTGTTAAACTGTAATGCAAAATAGAAGTTACAGGTAAATTTGGATTGTTGGAATATGATTTTATATAAGCAATAAAGCTTAAGATTATCATTGGTAAATAAATGTATTCACCTTTTTCTATTCAAGTAAATTTTAATCAAGTAAACTGCAATTTAAGCAGATATAAAGTCCTGGCTTCTCTCAGTGCTGGAGTGTAGGGTGGGAAATGTCCTGATTAGCAGTGTGAGTAGAGCCCATGCTGTCTGTCTGTGTCACTCAAGCTCATTAATGAAGGTTCCAGCTGGTGCTCCATCCACCGCTGCTCTCTGTGAGCATGTTCTGGACTCCATGACTGACTGACGCTGACTCTGCGCTGTCAGGCAGGCGCTGGGAGCTGAAATGAAGCGCTAGATGGTCAAAGTGAAAGGAACCCAATAAGAGTGAGAGAAGTGCAGGCGATCCTCACACCGATCAGACCGGGAGAAAAGCCCTGAGGCAGCGGCGGCTCAGCGGACACACACCACCATGGCGAACATCGCGGTCCAAAGGATCAAGCGAGAGTTCAAAGAAGTTCTCAAAAGCGAGGAGGTTTGGCTGCTTTCGCTCCCTTACCGCTCTATCCTTTACTCTTTATTTTACATTCATTTTTTTAAACGTGCGGGGAAAGCGAGGCTTTCATGGAGGACAGGCATTACCTGTGGAGGTGTTGGTTCTGTGTTGCATCATCACAACTTAAGCTAGCTAGGCGTTAGCTTCAGAAATGCCAGCAGAGATGACATGATGTCAGATGGGTGCGTTCAGGAAACACCGGGGATTCACAACATTGGCAACTGACAGGCCTCTTGTTACCAACAATCTGAGTAATAACCAACCTGAAACAAACCTATATATATAAATAAAAATAAAACTGCAGTACATGTGTCATGAATGATCACGACTCAATGAATCAACCGGTGTTTTAACTGCTGTTAAGGAAGCATTAGTTTGATGTCATCTACAGTTAGCATTAGCATCACATTATATGCCTTTAACCGCCTGTTTGTGGTCACTGTTAAGGGTTTATGAGCTAAATGTTATTTCCTAATGAAGAGTTATTGCTAATTCTTAGTTTTTAAGTAGCTTTGCTCCAGCAAACAATCCGTTTTTTTTATTATAAAAGTAAAGATATCCTTTAGACGCGGAGAACAGATGTATTTTTTTATTTTAAAAAAGGAACCATATCAGAATATATATCAATGTTGTTTCTGTTTTCTGTCTTAATCTCCAGACCAGTAAAAACCAGATCAAAGTGGATTTGGTAGATGAGAACTTCACAGAGCTGAGGGGGGAAATAGCAGGACCACCAGACACACCTTATGAAGGTAAACACCTGGATTCCTCTGTTAAAAATCAAAGCACACTCACAGATACCTGTTTTAATATCTTTATTTTTTTTTTTTTTTTTACATTTTTGGTTTTTAAGGTGGCCGATACCAGCTTGAAATTAAAATCCCAGAAACCTACCCATTTAACCCTCCAAAGGTAGGTATCTGAATGGTTGATCTGTGGTGTTCAGCAAGGCTTAATTCTAGCTTCCCTCATCTTTTTTTTATCTTCAATTGTAACCATTGATATTAAACATCGCAGTACCTTTTATTTTAAAGGTGAAAGCTTCTTTGTTAGAAATGCTGCATCACAATATATAAGCAAATTTAAAAGAAAATGTAAAAAAATGTATTCCTTTCTTCTAGAGAAGGTATTCTGTTGCATTTAAATGATCTATTCTAGATGGTGAAGCTGTACTGTAGATCAGTGTTTTTCCAGCCTTTTTTTTTACTTTTGTACCCTTTTGGGCATTTTGTCGTCCCCTCTCAGTCAAAAGTACTGATTGTCAAAAAGTGGAACGCACTGTAAATTAAATAAAGACCATTTTACTTAATCTTTTAATTTGAGCATTTATTTTTTAGAATGTTATTCATTCCATCTCAAATTTAAAAACGAACAGAAATATGTTGTGTGGAAGTTGGTAAGAAATCAAAATAAATACAAATAAAACTGAAATCATATTATAAACCTGTATTTATCAAACTGGAGCTCCTCTAAATAATTTAAAAAAAACTTTATGAATACGGAACGAAATGCAGAACAAAAATTATAGTCAGACTAACCTAATAAGGCTCGGGCACATGACGTCACACGTTGCGCGGCAGACATATTGATAGCTGGTTAGCCCGCTGCTTACACTTCGCGCCTGTAAGGACTAGCTTTTTTCAGTTAGTAGTTTGCCGTTTTATTTTACCTCTGCTGTCGTTATGGTCGCCCGTTGCTGTGTCGTAGGGTGTAGTAGCGCAAGCTGAGACTGGACAGGAAAAAAAATCCCAAATGGATCGTCTTTTTACCGTTTTCCAGCCTGTAGGCGTCTCAATGGAAAACAA